ACTGCTGACATGAGTTGAGTCTGAAAATAGAGCAAGACATATGAAGAGAGACTCTTCAGTATAATGAGTTTACAGGGATTTGAATTGATGAGTTGTATTGCAGTTGTGTTTGCAGAGGATATCTCGTTTCTAAGATGTTGCAGAGTTGAATACTCTGATCGATCACTTGTGGGATCGACCCCCGTCACAGTGATCATCTTCCCACGAATCTTAGGGATTCGCTGGGAGGACTGCTTTAGTCATCGTTGATAAAGGTTCATTAGGTTGTTCGAAATTTATATAATTCAAGTTTCGTGTAATTTTTATGAAGCGATATTTAGAGGTTCTAGATAACTCAGAGTCAACTAAATAATAATTTTCATCATTTCCAATCTTTCAGTGATTATTTACGAGAATTTTGTGACTAATGAAATAATAATAATTTTTGTGATTAATTTTTGTGACTAATAATTTTTGTGACTAATAATTTTGTGATTAATGAAAACTCTCGTATGATATTAATGTGGATCTCTCAAGTTGAAGAAGCTCAATGTGATTTAAAGCAAACTTTATTTAAAGGTCTATTTATAATATTCTTGCTTTAATATAGTTCATAATGTTTTTAACAAAAACTAAAAAAAAGTAGTTGTATAAGTAGTTGTTGTATGGTGTTATATTATTTAAGTAACTTAGCAACTGACAGAAAAGTGCTGATGATCAAGGTCACTGGAGATAACCAAATGCTCACAAGACTCGAAGTAACTAAAAGAGAGTAAACACAATTATAGCCACTGTTATATGAGATCATTAGTATAATTAGGTAGACGCAGCGACACTGAGGAGGAAGTAGTCGAGGTCAACAGGGATACAACATCAACTGGGAGCAGTGGAAGTATCTCAGTGAGTGCATTCCCACACTGGGAAACCTCTCCAGAGGGAGCGTCAGTGTGTGTGTGTGTGTGTGTGTGTGTGTGTGTGTGTGTGTGTGTGTGTGTATGTATGTGTGTGTGTGTGTGTGTGTGTGTGTGTGTGTGTGTGTGTGTGTGTGTGTGTGTGAGTATGTGTGTATGTGTGTGTGTGTGTTTGTGTGTGTGTGTGAGTGTGTGTGTGTGTGTGTGTGTGTGTGTGTGTGTGTGTGCGCGCGCGCGTGTGTGTGTGTGTGTGAGTGTTCGTACATATAAGCTTAAAATGGGGCATGAGATCGTTGAGGCTCGGAAATTGAGCAGTGCAGAGGAAAAAAACATGAAAAAAGATCTCAGAATGACCGACTCCAATGGAGCAGTCCTCCCTCCGTCCACCGGAGACGCTTGTGTAGCTGTAACACGTCCAGAGCACTGCGGGTGTCGAATCTGCTAGTCACTTCCTGACGGAGAGCAAGACCGAGTTGGAGTTGCCGAGGACGTCCTAGGGGGAAGGGGGAGGAGATCATCGTGTAGACTGGCTTGATGAAGGGGAGCTTCGAAACAGACAACCAGGATCTGTGCCTCAGTTCCCCTCACGACGCTCAAGTGTCTCCGGGATGAAGGTCTTGTCCTCATTCACAGCCTCATGAGAAACGGTATCTTCCGTTTCTCTGTAAGAATCATTACCGATGCCCTGGTGTTAAGTTTGTCATCTGGTTTATCATGCTTTTAATAGATTTATGTAGAATTTGTAGTATGTGCTCGTAGGTGCGAGACTAATCCATGTGGAACTCACTGTTGCACCGAGACAGTGAGAAAGGGAAATGGTGAGAGAGAGAGAGAGAGAGAGAGAGAGAGAGAGAGAGAGAGAGAGAGAGATAGAGAAAAAGAGGAAAAAAAGATAGAAAGTTGCTTGTTAGATTGTAGAGTATATAATTGTTAGAGTAATCACAATTATCTTCATAACACCATAGGATACAAGTCAAAACAAACAATGGGCATAACAATGACATATATTTGTCGTCTTGTACGGGGGTATATCATTGAGACTGAGGATGGCAGCTATATACATACAATGTATACACAGGGGGGCTCTCCTCCTCGACCCGTCGCCTCACAAGGGGCAACAGAGGGGGCAGAGCCGAGAGAAAATATCTTTACCAGTATTATGATGACGTCAGAGCCAGCCCCTGCTGCTACGGCCGCCCGCGCGCACCACAACACACCAATACGGTGCAGTCTTGGTGCTATTGGAGTGGGAATTTCGACAGTGTGTGTGTGAGAGAGGAGAGTAATGAGAAGTGGTGTCATGATAAAGTAATTACTAGGTTATAACATGAAATTCGAGGGAAAAGAAATTAATATAATTAACACCAGCATTGTTACAATGCAGTTCTTTGCCCTCTCTTATCTTTCGGCCTAATATCCTACATTTGGCTTGGGTCCCAGGCCACTGTATAGGAAGCCATGAAAAGCGAGTTTTCTGGGTTAAATGAGAAAAATCAACCCCACACACGCACGCACACACACACACACGCACACTCACACACACACACATACATACACAGATCTAGCCTAATGCCATGTGTTTCCCCTCCTGAAGGAGTGAGAGTATATATCATTCACACATAAACTTTGTTATTGTATGATAGTTTTAGCAATTATCAGTGATGAAAGTTAAATCCCATCCATTACACAACCCTCCTTCATATTGGGTTACTAACATCAATTTTGTCATTCTACTAAATGCATGATCCTCATGGCACTATTGATGGGGGAAAAAACAAGTGAGAATTTAAGTTACAGTTTGACAATCAGATATCCCTCTAGCCTAGCCTATAATTTATATTTACAACAATCTGGAAAAAAGGTCATTCTTGACACCACGATGACAAAGATGTAAAAAAATGTAAGGTGTAGAAAGGGCGGGTGGCGGGAGCAGGTGGGATAGATCACGGTAGCGCGTCCTGTTGGGCTCAAAGGGTGACGCGGAGTTGGCGCCAGATTAAAGTCACATCATAAAAATTGCGCCAAATCCGCCTCACGACAAAACGCGCGCCAGTCTTTGGCCCAATGGGCGGGCACGTGACGTCATCATGTCTGGCGCAGACAGCGGCAGTTTCACGTGCGTGGAGGCGCCCCTCTGCTAGTTCCACAGGGGTACTGGGTTATGGTCAATTCACTATCGCTATTTACAGGCTAATGATGAAACTGGTTGGTGGAGGGCGAAGCCCCTCCACGCACGACGCTAAAGTAACTGCGATATTCTACTCCATAGCGCAGCCTAGCAGGCAATTCCTACAAAATACGCTGAAATATACATTTAAAATATATATATATATATATATATATATATATATATATATATATATATATATATATATATATATATATATATATATATAACAAAGAAAGCCAGTATAGGCTGTCTCTCTCTCTTCTGGTGATATGGAACTTTGTGATGAGTATTCATAATGATCCTAATGACACAGCAACATATAATATATATTTATATATAGTTTCTTGGCAAATATATAAAACGTATTAATTCATATACGCGTGTTGTAATGGCATCGAGTGAAAAATACTGACCCTTTGTCCTAAAAAATGAAAGATTTATAAGCGCCTCTCACCCCAGGGCAAAAGGCTATATGGAAGATCTCATTTAATATACAATTACTGTTTTGACAAACTCTTCTTCCCAAAAGGCTATCCTATTAATGATAATGTTATATTTATACAATACAATTTGTTCTATACATGCATATATATATATATATATATATATATATATATATATATATATATATATATATATATATATATATATATATATATATATATATATATATATATAATGTATAGTTCTGATCAACCTGCACACAAACACTCAAACATTCATACATATGGATTTACAAGTTTTTTTAATATAATTAAATCAACTTAGAGACAAAAGAATGACAGCAAAACAAAATTTAGCTGGTCAATTAATTACTCTTAATAGGATAAAATAGGCTCGATGTTACAGGTGACTGATGATTGGTTAACAACACTGATTGCTGATTGGTCAACACCATGACTGCTGAGTGACTGGCTTTTCTTTTCTGGTCAACAGTTAAGCATTTATAACGTCATAATGGAGGGAAAAATATATATATACTAGTTAAAAAATCATAATTTGAGAAGATTCACTATTTTCCGTAGCATAAGTATCTTCAACAAAATAACTTCCCATTTTCTTTTAAACATACCCCAGCCAAAACTTGAGCTTCTTGAGAGGTTGATACAGGAATACATGTCTGGCTTCAACACTGGTCACTACAGCATGGGTCATGTCTGCGGGTATGAACCAGCGGTTCAACTCTTTGTTTTGATACGTCAACTCGTAGACTGAGTCGCAAGTTCATAGCAAAATAAAAAAGCAAGAAAGCAGCGTGCCCAGTAACATGATGGGTTCTGAAGCAAGATGAAGCCAAGGTCGACGTTTGATTTCAACACATAGATCATCACATGTTGTATGTGTGTGTGTGTGTGTGTGTGTGTGTTTTGCTCCCTGAAATTCTCATGCAAAATCCTGACACATTTCCATGGAACTTGCAGACGAGAAGGAGGATGAGAGAATCCAATCTCTTTACTGTAGGATTTCCTCTGTCTTTGCTTCATAGCTTCGAAGCAACTATCAAAAACCTGATTTCGTTTCTCATAGAAAAAATGGAAAATACTGTTTTTTTGTGTTAATTCTGATCGTCACCACAGTGAGGGAGAAGTTCTTGTGCCAGCAATATAACTGGTGGCATTCACAATTAAACGTACGCATCAACTCTGAATGTTTCCATGTGGTGATGTAAATACACGATTCACACTAGAGCAATTCTTCTACATGGTGGTGTAGACACCCACCAGCGGGGTACCAGACACCACCAGCGGGGTACCAGACACCACCAGCGGGGCACCAGACACCCCCAGCGGGGCACCAGACACCACCAGCGGGGCACCAGACACCCCCAGCGGGGCACCAGACACCCCCCAGCGGGGCACCAGACACCCCCCAGCGGGGCACCAGACACCCCCAGCGGGGCACCAGACACCCCCCAGCGGGGCACCAGACACCCCCCAGCGGGGCACCAGACACCCCCAGCGGGGCACCAGACACCCCCCAGCGGGGCACCAGACACCAGGTGGAATGTACTCTGTGCACTCATCACAAAAGGAGATTAATAGAGCACTCGAGCATGTATAATGAACGGTGCTGTGTACAAACAGGACTAAGACATGTACGCACAAAGCAATAGGGTGTGTACGCAGTCTTTAGGCTTGTGTACATAACATTTTATGTGTGTGCACACAGTCCTAGAAGCTTTCATGTACAAATTGTAGGGTGTAGTGTACATACTGTCCCGGGGGGCATTTTGTACACATTGCTGTTAGATGTACACAGCATTAAGGACATGAACGTACTGCACTGTGATGTGTTCATATTACATAGGGGTATAACTAAACTATTATGAGGCTTCTCTATACCGCACTGGAACAAAGACATCCCCCCCTCTCCCGGTCCGGGCACTAAATGCAACGCACTATTCGCTTCATACCGTACACGGCGCACTAGTCACCACACTGTAGTTCACGCATCATACTGAGCACTATACACACACCACTCATGCCATACTGAAAGATGGTCTCTCTATAGATATCACAGATAATTGAGTAAATATCAACGATGTAGTCTATCGTGCCATGGCGTTACGTTATGTGTAAATCCCCTTTGAGTATTCGCATGAATGTCTTCTTGAACTGCTGGTTGGCAAGCGCGTAACAGAAGGGGTTAATGGGGCTGTTAGCGTAACAGAGGAAGTAGGCAAACATGTAGACGTGGGTGTTGGTACACTGGCAAAAGCCCTCGGCGATAGCCAAGATGTGATAGGGCGTCCAGCAAGCCACGAAGGCCCCCAGGATGATGGAAATAGTTCTTAGGGCCTTGTTAGCTCTATTTTCTGATTTAGAACGATGCCTCTTTTCCCCTTCGCTCTTCTTTTTCTTCTTCTTTAAGCTGCGGATGGACTTGACGATGCCCTTCCTGGAACCCTTAAATGAGCCCTTAATCGAGCTCTGGGCGTCAGAAATCACTGCTATCGAACTCTTGTCTCTCTCTATTAGTGAAGATGATTCGGTTCTCGCCACACTCGTCACGGTTTTGTTGGAGTTGACATTGTGAGTGGTGATGAGTTGATTGGTTGGTGCCGTGGTGGTGGTGCCTGCCCGTCCTGCCTCTGACACGCTCATAATCCCTCTCGGTCGCACCTGCGGAGTGGGTGGCACTGGTGCTGCGGAGGTTGTGCTGTTGGAGTTGTTGGCAGCCGGCGCTATGTTGTAGTGCGCATTGGGTGCGCTGTTGTTGGTGGTAGTGGCCGGAGTAGTAGTAGTATCTTTTAAGGGACTAACAGGACTTCTGTATCTATCTGATCCTGCTAGGCTGGTGACAGCAGTGCAAGCGTGAATGATGGAAGTGACCAACACATTCGTAGAGTGGTCGGAAACTTCCTCCTTGTCGTAGCACTCGTCATCGGCATCTGCCGATTCGTCGGCATCCGCCGATTCGTCGGCTTCTTCGATGCTCATCTCTAGATCCTCTTCATCTGAGCGCGACTGCATCCGGCTGATCTTGCGATGGATGCTGTGAGGCGTGGCTAGCGTGGAGGTGAGGGAGCGCACTGTGGGCGAGGCCGGGCTATGGAGAGTAGCCGCCCACACAGACGAGGGAGGGTCCTCTACTACTGGCGACGGGAGGATGATGGATGACTCGTCCATAAAGCGTAGATCACCCGTGTCCAGACCAGTTAGGATATCGTAGGCCATCGGGCCGTAGTTTAGCGAAGAGGGAGGTCTCGTGGTGCAGATGCTGCTGACGCTCATACTGTCAGCAAACATAGCTGGTGGAGCAATGACTCTCTCGTCCAGGGCGTCTGTTGGTGTGGAAGCCGCAAGAGGAAGGATAGGCACGGTACTGATAGGTCTAAGAGGCAAGGAAGTAGGGTGAAGAGGCTGTAATGGCTTCTTCTGTGGTGTTGGTTCATCGTTAGACTGCACACTCAGAGTTTCATCTGAATGGCAACTGTTTTCATCGTCATTTTTCGAAAATTCGCCAGACATGCGCTTGGCCAGAGGTGCTGTGGCAGCCCCCAACGTCACATCCAGCAATCCGGAGCCCTGCAGGCTAGTCTCGTGCAGGGCCACATCAGGTAGAATCGTTTTTTTTCTCGGCGAATGATGGTGGTCGGGTATGGGCAGAGACCGGGCTAAGCATACAGCCAGGGCGCCGATGCCTGCGTCAGACGAGGAGCTGCCCTCCAACGTGGTCGAGGTGTCTAGTACGCTTTGTTCTGGGATTTTGGGAAGAGTGTCTGTGGTTGGTGTTTTGCGATGCTGTGGCGGTGGGTCGATGCGTGGCACCGTGCTGTTGGGCAGACCAGATCTTTTGGGCAACGGAATCTGACTGCTCTCGTCGTCCGAGTCAAAGGCCGGACTGCTTGATCGTTCAGATTTTTCTGTTGGTTCGACACGACGCTCTGAAAAACTCGTCGTTTCCGTTGTCTTAGAGGAGGTTTTTTGACTCGAAGACGAGTCACTGACACCAGAGCCTCCCTGCGGCGCCGGTGCGGGTGCGGGTTTGGCGACAGGGGGCGGGCCGGCCGGCGGCTTGTCTTGGCTTAGCAATGTACTCTGTGTTTTACTCATACCAAGACCGGCCGTGCGGCCCGCCATGCCTGCCATCCCACCGGCGCTGAGGGCCACCAACGTCTGCATCTTTCTGTGTTTGGCTTCCGACTTTTTTTGCATGTCATAAGCTGTTTTATATATACCGGCGTAGAGGACGAAGAGGACGACTAGTGTGACCCAGTAATAGGTGACGATAAGCGCAGTGTTGAACACCGGGTCTCTCAAGAACTGAACCTCGCATTCGTTGGGCTGGAGTGAGCGGTAGCCCACGAAGTGCTCCCACCCGAAGATGCTGATGAAAAAGAGCAAAACCGGGATGATCCACACCATCGCTACCATCACCATCACCTTCGTCCGCGTCCGCCAGCCGCGGTACTTGGCGGCGATCTTAACCGAGCAGAAGCGGTCGATGGTGATGAGTAAAACCGTGTACTGTGAGGCGAGGCAGACGGTGTAGTCGACGGAGAGCCACAGGTCGCACAGGATGGGACCCAGCGTCCACTCGCCCATCAGCACGTAGACGGTGTAGAAGGGCATCGACACCGAGCCGATGATTACATCCGTCATGGCTAACGAGGCGATGAAGTAGTTTGAAGGCTGTCGAATGGCGCGCTCGACGATGAATGAGAGCAGCACCAGCAGGTTGCCTCCTACTGTCAGGATCATGCAGCAGGCCAGGCAGATGGCAATGATCACCGTCTGCCAGAGCTCGAAGGGCGGCAGGATGGTGGCGCCGCCCTCCGCTGCAGTGGTATTGGCCAGGGCGCACTCAGTGGAGGCGTTGCCCCAGCAAGTAGCGTTGTCTCCCCACAGATCAGAGGAGGCGTTTAGGTAACTGATGGAAGGGTCGTTGACTCTAGTTGGCCCGGCCTCCCAAGGCACCAGGAAGGGCAGGAGCGTCGTGCCCCTGCGGCCAGCTCCCAGGGCGTCCCCGAAGGGTGCAGTCATGTTGAATCTCGCCGCGGAGTCGCCATCGCCCACGTCCGCGCCGCCTCGCTCACGCTGCTGCTTCCTGTAACACAAACACCAGAGTTACCCATCAACACGCACTTCTTCAGCAACAACACATACTCTGTCCCTATTAGCTCTGCTCTTTAAACACGACCTCAAGCTAAAGTATATACTATGTGTCTGTCTCACACACACGGGGGATCTAGGCAACCCATTTAACCTACAGAAGCCGATGCTAAGTACTCTAAGAGTGCTTCAATTTGGCGGTGCTTTCAATTTCTCTAAGACATTTTTCAATGTTTTACATTGAACATTGTAAAAATGTTCAAAACAATAATAATTAATAAATAAAAATCAACACAAATATTTATGTGTTGAAAGACATATCAATGAATTACAATTAAAATAAATATGCTAGTTACAATAATTAACATTAGAACTGGAATAAAAACCGACATCATAATTTATGATAATACACAATGTGATACTATTTAGAAATAATCACATCAGTTAATGTGCGAGTGTGTTTTGTGGCGTCACAATAACGTGGTTGATGTATGTTGACCAGACTACACACTAGAAGGTGAAGGGACGACGACGTTTCGGTCCGTCCTGGACCATTCTCAACCGACTTGAGAATGGTCCAGGACGGACCGAAACGTCGTCGTCGTCCCTTCACCTTCTCGTGTGTGTGGTCTGGTCTACTCTCAGGGTATCTGAATTGATGTAATGAAGTTGATGTTAGTTTTTTCCTGTGTGTATTTCGAAACATATTTCTGGACATACAAAAGCGTGCTTGATAGAGCCACATATCACGTGACCTCCTGTAGCCAATGAGAGGGGACCTGCGGCGTTACGCGTTCCCAAATGCCACACCTAATTTTCATGGAAATCGTCACTCCGTTGACCGACATCATGGAGTGAGGATGCTCTTCCCCGGTGTTTAGTTCCGAGTCATTATCTATTAGATCCGCATGCGCATGCCATCTATTAGAGTCACATACGCATGTTGTCTATTTGAGCCACATGCACATGACTGAATCATACGTTGAGATAATCGTACAGAGAGCAGCAGGACTGGGGGAACCTACTCTATAGCAGTATTTCTCGTCGTCAAAACTAATTTGTGATGAGGTGGGTGTTAAGGTGGCTTGTGTTAAGCGTAATTAAAGTATAACACTGAAGACGACCTGGTTCTAGTCATCCTTGACTAAGCCACGAGTCGTCTGGATAACGACATGAATTACACTGTTGTATAATATATATGTATATATATATATATTTCCTCCCAATGATAGCAAGTGTGATTTTGTGATTTCTTATGCCTCCATACTATTGCAAATGGAGTTGGGGAACTGAAGATGGGGAAGGAAGGGAAGGAGGGAGAGAGGGAAGGGGGTTTGTTGTTGTTATGAGGAGATGGGGAAAAGAAGAGAAATGGAATGAAGGGGGTGGGGGGCGTGGTAGGAAAGGGAGGGGGCGGGGAAGAGACTCTTTGACACTGTTGTCCCAGACTCAGAAATGTTGCTAGACAGACAGTGGCACCCCAAGTGCCTTCCCCCCTCTTCTCCAAGGATCAGTGCCAAAGCACAGCAGCAGGAGGCGACGGCCGACCCGTCCCGGCCACCCATCGCGTCAAACACACTCACGATCCCGGAAATACAGCGAGAAGTCACTGCGCGACATATTGATAAACAACAGCAAAAATGAAACACATTTTCACTTCTCGCGATGAGACGAAGAAATCATGTCATTAAATGCTAAACGCTGGGAATTCCCTAATGGATATGGAATAATAATTAGATTCCACTGAGGCATGGTGATTACAGACGACCCCGAATGTGTCTGATTGAGATGAGAAATCTAATGGCACACGTGAGCCACATTGCGCCGAGGCCAACGTCACTCGCAGGAGTTGGAACACCAGGTAATATCCGGCAGTTGTGTGGGTGAAAATGACGTGTCGTCACACTGCGGAGAGGCCAACCAGGAGGCAGAACGAGACAGGTACAACCAATCAGGAGACAGAAGGGGGGACACGAGCAAACAATCATGAAACAGAGGATAGGTGAAGTCAATTAGGGAGCAAAAGAGACAGGTGCTAAACAGGAGACAGAAGGCAAAGGTGCAGGCAATCAGGAGAGAGAGAGGAGAGACAGGTGTGGACAATCAGCAACAAATGGGTCAGAAGCAGCTAATCACCACACAGGACAGAAGGTGCAGTCAATGTGCAAAAAAATAAAGACAGAAGACATGCAGTATATCCAGAAACACCCACGACACAGACAGCCAGCTGGCAGAACACCCCACGACACAGACAGCCAGCTGACAGAACACCCCACGACACAGACAGCCAGCTGGCAGACCACCCATGACACAGACAGCCAGCTGGCGGACCAAGAAGGTTAACCAAGACTTCCATACGTCAGACAGGCGAAACCAGACAACATCAACAAATGGGAGAAAAGGAACCAATCAAACAATTAGACGGGCCATTATACACCCCCAACAACCTACTTTATCCACTTAGGATGTAGCACACACCGATAATACATCATACAGTAATGTTGATAAACGACCAGGGGGGGGGGGAGGGGGGAGGATAACTTATATCTCGCTCGAGAGCGCCAGAAAACTGCCCGGAATTTCTTAACACGCACTTAGTGGGTAGTTGATGGCTGCCTTAGATTCAGTGGGGTATTTGAGAGGGATAATATCTTTGTTGATGTAGGTCATGCCTATGTAGAAAATAACAGGAAGGGGGATGGCATAAGGGAGAGAGAGAGAGAGAGAGAGAGAGAGAGAGAGAGAGAGAGAGAGAGAGAGAGAGAGAGAGAGAGAGAGAGAGAGAGAGAGAGAGGAAAAAAAGATGTATAAATATGCAAAAGAAAGACCAGACGAGCAAGCCTTAATGACTAGAAAAAACTGGCCACGAACTAGCCTACGGCCATCACCGAACTAACAAGTCAGCAGGCAAATAAACTCCCCCCAAAAAATGCAGACTAAAATTTAACTAAACCAAATACAAAAAATCCTGGCACAAAAAAGTCAACATAACGAGAAAACACGAACCTGCCGGCACAATGGTGTATTTAACCAGGAGAGAGAGAGAGAGAGAGAGAGAGGGAGAGAGAGAGAGAGAGAGAGAGAGAGAGAGAGAGAGAGAGAGAGAGAGAGAGAGAGAGAGAGAGAGAGAGAGAGAGGAGAGAGAGAGAGAGAGAGAGAGAGCGAGAGAGAGAGAGAGAGACAGAGAGAGAGAGAGAGAGAGAGAGAGAGAGAGAGAGAGAGAGAGAGAGAGAGAGAGAGAGAGAGAGAGAGAGAGAGAGAGAGAGACACTGAAAGAGCCACTCGAAGATAGACTACCAGCTACCCCGTCTATAATACTCTCTATAAAAGAGAGTCTATCTATTTTTTTTGTCCATGATAGGAAGCCAGTCTAGAGGGGGGGGGGGGGCAGCCTCATGAGAGGGGAGGGGGGGGGGTTGGGGTCGACCCCTTTTAGCCACTCTTGAAGGGGGGGAGGGGATGATGTGCCTCCACACACCCCCCCCCCCCTTCACCAAGTTGACGGAAATGAAATGTGTGAGCAAACTTCTGTATAGTTTGTTGTTGTTTTTTAGATTTAGTTACTCGGAACAGGATATTCATGTAGCACGGGATATAGTGATCCCCGTAATCCGTCAGTATAGTTTAACACTCGTTGAAATATTTGTGTATTCAGATACTGACATGCAGAATCAACGTTCAGTCGATAGATTTGCGTTCTGGGCACATCTTATTAAATTACGGTGATGTTGATAGTGTGTAGTGAGAATGATTGGAGCGATTGGGGGATATTGGAAGACTATGTGTGTGTGTGTGTGTGTGTGTGTGTGTGTGTGTGTGTGTGTGTGTGTGTGTGTGTGTGTGTGTGTGTGTGTACGTATTAACCTAGGTTGTATTCACCTAGTTGTGCTTGCGGGGGTTGAGCTCGGCTCTTTCGGCCCGCCTTTCAAATGTCACTCAACTATTACTAACTACTATTTTTTCACTCCACGCCACACACACACACACACACACCAGGAAGCAGCCCGTGACAGCTGACTAACTCCTAGGTACCTATTTGCTGCTAGGTAACAGGTTCATCAGTGCGAAAGAAACTCTGCCCATTGTTTCTCGCCGGCACCGGGAATCGAACCGGCGACCACAGTATCACGCGTCCAGCGTGCTGTCCAGTCAGCCACCGGCCCCTGTATATGTGTGTGTGTGTGAGTGTGTATATGTGTGTGTGTGTGTGTCTGTGTCTGTGTGTATGTATCTTTTTCGATGTGTTGGTGTGTTTGCCAATAAATTACATTCACAAGTTATTAAATTACACGAAAACAAACACACGTGTATTATTTACGTTTGACTTTGGCCAGTCGTTAATAAAACACACACACACACACACACACACACACACTTGTATACGTAAATAATATATGAATGGCAGCGTGTGAGGTGGGCGGGCAGTCCTTGACAATGGGCCGCTAATGAAGTGATCGCCAGGCACACCTACGACAATATTGGTAAACAAGACGCCAGCGGGGAGGGTGGAGCCCGCGCTCAGAGACAATATGCTCGAAATAACTCCGTAAGAGAGAGAGAAAGAGAGAGAGAGAGAGAGAGAGAGAGAGAGAGAGAGAGAGAGAGAGAGAGAGAGAGAGAGAGAGAGAGAGAAGGGAAGGGAATTATCAAGGGGAAAGCGCCAAGTCATTACGACTATATAGCACTGGGAAGGGGTCAAGATAAGGATTTGGGATGGGACGGGGAGGGAAAGTAATGGTGCCCCAACCACTTGGACGGTCGGGGATTGAACGCTGACCTGCATGAAGCGAGACCGTCGCTCTACCGTCCAGCCCAAGTGGTTGGGAGAGAGAGAGAGAAAGAGAGAGAGAGAGAGAGAGAGAGAGAGAGAGAGAGAGAGAGAGAGAGAGAGAGAGAGAGAGAGAGAGAGAGAGAGAATAAGAGAAATAGAGAAACAGATTGAGAGCTGGGGTGGAGACAGGTAGACAGAACGTTTTAGATTAAAAAAAAAAA